TTCCAAGTGTGAAGCACTGGGAGTGTCTTAAAACGCTTAAAAAAGGGGGCTAAAGTGTATTAAGTGCAATTAAAAATAATTGTACAGGATGACCATGCAGTCCCCTTTCTGGTAGCCCGTCACCTGTGAACAGCAGGGCTCTGAGGGGATGGGGTGGCCCTGAGAGCAGCGCTGTGCTGCTTAGTTTAAAACTCCTAATTCTCCCGTTTAATCAACATATTTTACAAATTACGTCGTCGATATTAACCTATTCACAAGTATAAAAGCACTTTTTAACTCTTATCTTTAAATGATTCATGATAATTGGAGTTGGGCTTCCACTTTGACACGTGAATATTTCAACCTCACACTCATGCGATTCACGTTCCCTCTCCATCTCCCTTCTTTCCCTCCTTGATAAAACAGATGTTTTAATTAACCTGTACTTTGTTTTCAAGATCACTTCCTGGTACGACAGCAGCTGAATGTGCATCAAACTTGAAGAAGATTTATACAGTACAAACAGTGCAGGTAAAGTGTCTGGCTCTGCTACAGGAGCTACCACATGTTATTAATGTAACTTCACACCTTAAGTTTCATTTTTCCTCACAGAATGAGTCACAGCTGTGGCTTTGCTTACCTGAGGTGTGAAACGTGAGTTTTGTTGGAGTTGTGTGTGTGTATTACTGAGTCATTGTTTGAATTTCACTTGGCTTTCCAGACCAGGAAAGGAGGAGGCATATTGGATTGAACATATTGGATTATTAAATTTTCCTGAGTTTCCACTTGTACCTCTGTTGGATTGTTATACTTGATTTATTTTAATAATTTTTCTGCTTTTTTTCCCCATGTTTTATTTAACACAGAAATTCATTATACAAAGACTAAAAATTGCAGCTTGTGGGTTTGTTTTTTTTTTGATCTTTCCTACTTGAGCATGAATCAAAAAAAATTTAGCAAACTAACTTGAATTAAAGTACTCTTACATCATGGAATACTCACAATAATGAGAAATTCTGCATGTCTGTGTCATCTACCAGTGCCTAGCAGTGGACATCTCTTGCAAGTAAAATTGCATTTCTGTTTTAAGACCACAGTTACCATGAAGTGTAACCAATTGGTATTTGTCTCACCTTAATGCTAAGCTGATTCTAGTTCACTAAATCTCTGAAATTCTAAGGTAGTGCCAAACCCTTCTCTTTGAGAAGCACAGCTGTAGTGATCTCCTGGAGTTTTAAACAAGGCTTTCATATAATATGATCTTCCTTGGGAAAGTGAAGCCAAAATCTTCATTGACTCCATCACTCTCCTTCATGGCCAGTACCTACTCAATGAGGAATTCCAGCCTCCACCACCTGAAGGATGTTTTCAACCCAAAACCTTCCAAACAAAGTCCTTGGTTCAGGACATAAAGAGCTTTCAAATGCTTCCACAGCCATCTGCCAGTGTAGCTCTGCTTCTTTTTCTGTCAGTAGCTTTAGGGTTTGGGCAAACAACCAGGTAAGAATAAGACAAAAGTTGAAACAGGTGTTTCATAACAAGTTTTTATATTTTTATTAGCCTTCCATCTCTCTTCTTGTGACTGGGAAATGGTAATTGCTGGTAGGCAGAGTCACCAAGGGCCGCAAAATTTTATCACATAATGTTGCAATCTTTGTTACTAAAATTGTGCTAATGATTAAGTATTAGATAATACTTAATGTATTAGATAATACTTGAATATTATGTGTAGATAATACTTAATGAGTTGCACTACTAATTAATGTTGCATCACCACATGTTGATGCAACTTAAGTCTTTAAAAATCTTATTCCCGGCTGTTGGATAAAGAAGAACAGAGATTGGGATCTTTTTAGTTGCTCACTACTGCTTTTGGGTGCCTTTTATCCACCCCAAACATGCATGACAGGTTCTTGTACCAGCAGAGACACTGGGAAGTAATCAAATGGTTCCTGGTAACTTGGATCTTCTGATTTCTCCCCCCTTCCTGTATTAACATGCGCATCTCACATTCTTTGCATGTGGTTGAAACCTTTCATTTAGACAAAGTAGCTGGGTTGCTGGTTAGGCATTTAGTTCACCAGAATTATCATTTGTGGTGGTTTTGTAACTCGGGATAATCACAATGAAGTTTAGGCTAGGCTAGGATATTTGATACAAATAATTTTTTTATATGCTAATAAAATACTATGTGCTGCTTTGTTCTCACATACTTAGTGTAACTCTGTTTTTTATTATTTTTCTTCCCTCCCTATTGAAAAGGACCTTGATTCTAAAATAATCCACACTTGGACTGTTTCCCTTCTTTCCACCTTCACTTATGCAGAATTGGCATCTAAAAAAAAAAAAGTGGAAATTAACTTTTAACAAGTTCTTCTCCAAGCATTTTGTTATAACATAGAAGATACCAGTTCTCTAGGAGAAGGATATGTAATTGTTTTAGAGAAAACTAGCAAGGCAGTAAATCTGCAGGAAACGTACTCTCTTGTGTTAGTGCAACTAGTGTTTTTTTCTTTTTAAGGATTTCTGGAGTGTCTACAACAACATTCCTCCTGTGACAAATTTGCCTCTGAGATGTAGTTACCATTTAATGCGGGGAGAAAGACGCCCACTCTGGTACGTGTTGTCATCAGACATTTCTGGGAATGGGCAGTGGAAGAGCCTGAACTGGAGAAAGGAGACAGGTGTGGGACAGGAATGTCTTGTTTATGTTTTATTTTAAGTCTATCAAAGTAATTTTGTATTTTAGGAAAGGGATTGCCAGAGATTGATCTCATCATCAGTAACCCACTAACTTTTCAGTAATTACACACAAAAGTATATTGACCAATATCAGCATATATATATATATATATATGTAATTTTTTTTTTTTAGACAGAAAAACCAGTTCTGAAGTAAGAATTGAGGACTGCAGGTTTTTTTGAAAGTGTTCTCCTAAAGCTTCCCAGCTCCTTTCCCCAGCATCTGTCCGGATTGGAATATCTAAACCCCCTATGAAACCTAATGGAAATTCCCCAGGACCAACAGTCTCCCACCAAAGATGAATTTTAGGTTATTCTTTTAACTTTACTTTTACAGAGTTTTAACAGGAAAGTAAAAGCGATAATTTAAAATCTTATTGAATGAATTGTGGCAGAATAAACTTGAGGAGCTCACAGGTTTGTACGTCGTACCTTTGTCATTACAAGGCAGTTTAATGATTATGTCTGCCCTGACCCTGGGCAACTTCAGTCTTTTTTAAATATGAGCAATTAATTTCTAGCTGTCACAAAACTGAAATGAAGTGTGCTCATGTTCTTTTGTTAAATTGGATGAATGGGAGACTAATAAGTTGCTTCTGTGAAAATATGCCAGAGGTTTTCCAAAATAAAAGGTTACCATGGTAAAACGTAAAATTGTTTTGTGGCTTGTTCCCATACAGTGTGCAGCCACTTCAAAGACGGTCTGTTGTCAGGGAAAATGTAAGTATTTTCCAAGACACAAAACTTAGGAAAAGGGATTAGGTGTTGAGATACACTTCATATGAACAATGAAAGAATTATCTGTGATGTCAGAAGTCAGAGTCATGCTCCCTGGGGTTAGTAATTGCATTTCAGATGAGATCTTTCTGGGAAAATTAAACCACAAACATAAGGTTATCTAGATGTGGAATTGACTGTTTATTTTCACTGATCTATTTCCCATAACAGGGAAGAAGAAAGCAATGCCAAAGGAGGTGTATGGAAAATGAAGGTCCCTAAAGAAAGTACGGTATGTTATATTGACTTCTTACTCAGTTTTTGTTTAGTAAGGGAGTATCTTTAAATTGTATCTGATAAAGCTGTTGTAAAACTTTTTACTTCTGACATCATCCAACACAACAACCAAACACTGTTCTACCATACATAACCTTTTAAATACAATGAGCAAAACTTTCTTTTCCAATAATTCCATCTCTCTTGCTTTAGATAACATTTGGCAACGTGTTATCAAGCAATTGAAAGCTGCAGAGTTTCCATTTGGAAACATGGGAATTTATAATCACCTTTGTTCTCGAGACTGTTTGCTTACAGGCATACAAAGGAAAACAGGAAACCTTTTCCTGATAATCTATGCTAAATTATAGCCAGAACCACAGTTGACACAGCACAGAGTTTCACTGAAATGCTCCTAAACACTCTGTCAAACTCTGTAGGACTATTTCTGCTTGGTGTGGCTTGTTTGCCCCTGTGATGGCTCTGAGTAACCTGTGACTTTCTACAGCCAAACATGGACCAAGGCGTTGTTTCCACCAGTAACTCATGGCTGTGCTCCCACTGGAAGAGGCAAGATCTTGCTTCCTTCTCTCCTGATCCCTCTTGCACTGGCTCTGATCCTCATCAGACTGTTTAATGAACCAACTTAGTGCACTCTGTTGTTGCAAAAAGTCTCCTGGGGTTTTTTTATTTTTAATTAGACTGTATGGCCAGGAGAGCTTTTGATGGGCGTAAAGTAGAAAAGACAAGTAGGATCATCCCCTTTGGCAACGGTGAGTTGTCAGAGCACCTTGTGTGCATTTTGGGAAATTGCAGTGCTGCTCAGGTTTTTTTCCCTTTTTTTTTCCCCTCTCTTTTTTTTTTTTTTTAAATTCAGAAGTGTTAAAGATTAAGTCTGTTCAGGCATGTCATTGTTTGAGCCCTGATGAAATAACTGGGTTTCTCTTTGCATCCCTAATCAAATGCACGTGAGTAACTTCTCCTGTGAACTTCCATGGCGAGGAGATTTGACCTCTTCACACGTGGTGTTTATGTGTGCAAGTATGCTTTGGATCAGGCCTTTAAACACGAAAAGTGAAGTGTCAGGAAAATGTGACAGCCTTGCAGAAGGCATTAAATGCTGAAAGATGGCACTCAATTTCAACCAAAAGTTAATTGATTTTTGCCTGTGGGCTTTTTTCCTCTATGTGAGTTGCAACTTTCCTCCCCTGCAGTCCCAAGTGATCACAAAAGACTCAAATTGTCTTTTTCCTCTTATAATCCAAGGTGTGAAGATTGCCAGAAGTGACAAGTGGTTTGGGAAACCTGCATTACTGGGCAGTGAATTTAGGGGCCCCAGAGGCCTTGTTTTTCAGAGGCTGAATGACAGCCCATTTTTGAAATGAAGGTACTTTTGATCTCTCAAACTACACACCACATGGCCCCAGTCACTTCTGAAAGGTCTGCTTGAAGGTGAACTTCAGTCAGCTTTCATTGCCTTGTAAATAACATAAATAATACCTTTATACCTGTTTCTCATTTTTTGGGTTCGTTCTTCATCACGAGTGCACAGCATCTCCTTGACTGAGATGAACCATCTTGTTCAGACCTAACTATGAATTATATAACACAGCATGAACTTGCAATAAATACTCCTTTTTTTTCTAGACAACTTCAGAAAGAGAAGACACTCCAAACTGAGCTAGCAAAACTAACTTTTAAATTAAAAAATAATAATGCAAATGTAACTTTTTTCTTCTTCCTTAGGCTGCAGTTTGGAAAGAGCTACTGCTGGCAACTATTGGAGAGCAGTTTACAGATTGTTGTGCAGCAGGTAATGATTGAGGCAAGCATGACAAATTGAGTTGGAATACAGAACACGGTAGCACTGCTAAAAATGGGTGTAGGGCTGGAAACCCTGTTCATACCTGTTGTCATTAAGAAGAGGACAAGGTATGCTGACTACCTTTGTACAAGACTCAAGCTCAACAGCTTGTGTCTGTGGGAAGCCAGCAGGTTTTCTAGTTATTAAACATCTGTCAGTTAGCCAGTATTTAATTAATTAATTTTCATTCCCCAGTATCAGGATTATGGAACCCTAAATGGCACCTCCATACAGATTGTTTGGATTGGCACAGTTGGAAGCATCTAAATTAGATCAGTCATAGAAATCATAAAAGGTTTGGGTTGGCAGGGACATTAAAGATCATCTAGTTCTAAACCCCCTGCCATGGGCAGGGACACCTTCCATTAGAGCAGGTTTCTCAGAGCCCCATCCAACCTGGCCTTGAATAGATGTCCCCATGTGCCCTCATGGTCCCACTGGTTAGGAATTGTCAGGGGAAGCACCAGTGCAGACCTGAAGCAGAGGGACACTGCATGGCTTGCCTGTGGTGACATTAAAAGCCCACAGCAGGGCCACAACACAAACCTGGCTCTCCTGAATCCCAGGTTAGCACTCTACCCAGAAGCAATATTTTGTTCATTGCTTAAAAATATTGCTCAGGTCAAGGTAATGTTTCATGTAATTGAATTTACATAAATATTCTAAAAGTACTTTGCTGGTTTACTGGAAAACGGGCATTAATCATCCAGAAGCTCACATATTATTTTGGTCAGAGGTAATAATTTAATGAAGTCCCTTTCAGAATAAATATCTTCTCTAGGCTTGCAAGGTTCCTTGCAAGGAAAGGAACTCTGAGAAGGTACTGTGAACACTAGCTGCTTTGAAACAGATTGTCAAAGGCAACTTCTTAGTCATGAAAAGCAAGTACAAGTCTGACCATTTAATTCATTAAGGTTCTGTTAAAGAATAGTTTCTTATGATACTCTGCTGCCTACAGAGGTAGTTTTCCCCTTGTCCATGTGGTTATGGCACTATCTTTGTGTTATCATTACTGACCCCTTCCTTAGGATGCATGGGACAGCTGTGCCATGGAGCTCACAGCTGGAGGTACCCACTGCTCCCAGTGGAAAGCTGTGGCTCGGCCTTTGAGCTGTCCATAAAGCTGCATCCTGAGAATTTCACACCAAAAAGGGCTTTCTCAGCAAAACACGGAGTTACCAGCACTGGCAGCAGCAGCCTGACTGGGGCTTTATTAATTTTTTTTTCCTTTTTTCTGTTGCTGTCTTGACAAAATGTAAAGGAAAAAGGGAACAAAGTCTGGAAAAGCTGATATCTGATTTCCACCAGGTACTGTTCCTGGGGTTTTAGTTGTTTCACCCTCATCCTCACATTTTTGCTTGTAGGCATTATTGTAGGTAAATTATCTTATTGCTGACCTTACTGAAGGGAGTCTTGTGATTCCCTTCTAATCAAGAGTGCTAATAGCAAAGATGAATAATTTTATGGCACTTCATAAAAAACACTATGAGGTAATATTTCCAATAGCTTCTATAAACACAGTGGTTCTTTCTGGTAACTGTTTTGTCTGGTTTGAACATTGGTATTTTCCTCACTGGAGATTGCTTTTTTTTTTTTCAAGTCTTCATTTTTTTCCTCAGCTTTTGGGCACTGTTTCATAATACATAAGTAGCAAATTAGACATGTCTCACTTTTAAAGTATTCCTTAATGATTCTTCCCCTTCTGTGCAGAAGATGAAGTAATAGGGGTTAGTGTCAGCGTTCGGGACCGTGAAGATGTTGTGCAAGTCTGGAACGTGAATGCCTCTTCAGCAAGTGAAGCAAAAGTTCTAGAGAAGATTCACAAACTTCTACCACACACATCTTTTAAGGCAGTCTTCTATAAACGTAAGTGTTTTGTACTGTTTGTACTGTTAATTTCCACCTTCATTAGAAAAACAAGATGCTGGGAGGGTATTTCCATGGGAATATCCTGCCTGATTCATCATTAATCACTTAGGAACATAGCATCTGTCATTGCATTAAAATTAGGTCCCTTCAATGTAAAAGTTAGCTATCATTCAAAAGATATTTTTAATTTAATCGTAGAATATATTTGGTTTCATGTTTAATATGCCTGAGTCATAAAACAAGTGAGACAAATCTCTTGATAACTCTCAAGGCTACACGCTGTTCAATTGAAGGATTCATTTAGAGGAACCATTTACAATCAGGATTTTAAGGGATCTCGTATTTTAATATCTCTATAAATGTATTATCAGAATAGTGTATTCCCAAAGATCACTTGTTGGCATGTTATGTCTTCCTTGACTGATTTATACACTGCCATCTTCTGTTTTTTTTAATCTTTTCCTTGCCATAGTTTACATGTTCTTTTATTCTTTTTTTCCCCTTTTCTCTTCCCTAGCCCACAGAGAGCACCATGCTTTCGAAGGCTGACGTGGAAAGCATTAAGTGCAGTGTGTGCCAAGCTCATTTGTTGTTCTTTGGTGTTTTGAGGTGGTCTGGACAAGGAGGAGAATGGTGGAAACCCTGCAGAAGTGCTACATGCAGTTGGTCCTCTTGAGTTTCTGACATTTCAAACTGGGCTATTGCTGTTGAAAATGAAGAAAAACAGTTGCCTTGACCGCTAAATGTGCAATTCATCACTTCATGTTGAGTTGACATTTTTAATTCTTCATTGTTTCTTTAAAAAGACATTTTGGCCACTTGTTTTTTGCAACCTGATTCTATATTCCTATTTCATTCAGATAGCAGGCTTTCTTTCCTTCTGCACTGTACTTAGTGGAAAAGCAAACATGCACAGAGATGCTGCGCTGCTTCTCTGAGATGTGCTCTGCATAGAGGAATGCTGGCTTGGGGAAATGTGTTTTCAATTTTCACTTTGAGACATTCCTATCATGTTAAGATTTACTCACTGAGTTTGTCCCAAGAGAGAAAGAAATTGCACTGCATTTATTCTAATATTCTAATATTCGGTGTAATCTGGTTGTGCACTGACAACAGCACACATACTGTAAATGTAAATAGAAAAGGGTTCATTAAATTATATTTATTATATTGGGACTAACCCTGTGTGGGATGATGTTGATGTCTTTTGATTGTATTGATTTCAGAAGAACCCTCGTTCAGGCTAGAATGAGAAATTTTTTGGTAGGAAAACCTGCAAACTCCACCCCATCTTATTTAAGAAGCGATGGGGTGTTTATGTTTTTATATTGTATGCTTTCTTATGGTACATTTCTGTACATTCATGAAAAAGTGTAATGAATAATTTCTAATGTGTTTTACAAACTGGATCCATCCCTCCCACTTCCAGGAGTACTTCAGGCCCGTGTCTGCACCCACTAGGTCAGTGTCAGAATTGCTGCTGACTTCAGTGCTAAGGAAGAGGCTCCCTCATCTGTAGTTTCAAGCCATGAAAACTTCCTAAGTGACCTTTTTAAAACAAACAAAAAATACAGAAAAGTAATAGATTGTGTTGCAGCAAGAATAGAAATATAAACAGTGTTAACCTTTAAGTGTTTGTCTATTTTAACTATTTGAGGTGCTTTAATATACTACCAAAGATTGATTTAGTTCCCCTTACAGAAGAAGCTGCAAGGTAGAGATGACTGTGCCACTTAGCACTCCTTCCTCGTTTAGAGGTTTTTGTTTGGCAGCTGTTCAAGTTGCACTAATTTCCACATACTAAGGAGACAACAGTAAAAATCAAATAAATGTAAAAATAATTATCACGCATTTGAGATTTTTTTTTTTTACAACTTCATCTTGTATTTACAACTTTAACTTGTATTTATGAACTGTGTAGTTAATGAGTATTAACAATTAAACACATTTTCTAAAGTCCAAATGTCTTGCTTCTGTAATTGCTTTCTGAGATGAAATGTTTCCGGTCCTGTTTTTTCAAACCTGTGTATTTTTCAGTAAAATTCTCTTAAAAGCTATCTGTTCTGTTCATAGATTGAGATTTAATTTTTTTTTTAATGAAAAAGTATGGAGTGACAGCAGATACTTGCAGGTGGGATGTACATGGACAGCCTCCAGGCCTGTGTGATGGAGAAGAAAAGTGACTTCAGAGAAGAGAGGGGTAGAACACATTGAGGAAAAATGTTTGTAACAGCTTGATGAGCAAGATTTCTCACTTGAAATACTTCCCTGTCTTTGGAGGAAATGTGAGTGGAATACCAATGGAGAATTAATCACACACCTCTCCCTCCTCTTTGTTTTACTTTTGGAAACAAGCCAGACTCTCTCACCTCTTCCCCAGGTTTGTTTTCAGCACGGATGTTGATTTCAGTAGAGTTGGATCTGCTGGCAGGAATGGCTGAGCTGGTGATGTCACTGGAACTTGCTAATTTAAGGTATTACTTTATTCATCCTATTGAAGTAAATTATTTTTATATTGTTGCCTTGTGTGCCCCTTTAATATTAAAGACCTCTCTGCTTCAATGTTGGGTAGAGATTGAGAGACACTTTATTCTGCCCATAGGGTAGGGTAGCTGCACATTGACTACTAAAGTCCACATTACAAACTGTTGTCAATTTTTCATTGGCCTATAAAATCATGGATTTTTTTTCCATATGGCTTAATTCTCATGATAGTTATTATTACTTGGAATCAGGGTTGATGGATGTGTTCTTGACTAAAATTCAGTGTATCGTATGCCACAATCCAAAATCAGGCTTGGATCAGACTGGGTAGGGCAAGTTCACAGGAACCTGACAAATTGCATATTGGTATTTTGCAACCATTGATTTAAAGACTTTGTAGAGTTTTTGAACTGTCCTTTCATCCCTGCATCTGTAGGGATGTATTTATTCCAAATGATGTTGAACAGTTAATAGTTTTACTCTGGGAGATTTGCTTTATTGAACTTGATTACATGACCCCCCCACACTTCTTCAAAATCTTCTAAATTGTTTAAATGGAAATCAAAGAAGTGCCTACAACTTCCTGTCCAGATTAGCAGAATGAAAGAAACCTGCTTCCCTCTTGGGGTGGGAACAAGCCCTGGCTGATCCCTCCCACCCTGGGATGGTGCCCTTGGGCTCTATCCAGAAAGGCTGAATCTTTTCACACAGCTGGAGCACTGGTTTTTTTGAGTTTTATAGGAACTTCATATCCTTGATATGCCTGTCCTGCCCCCCCGGGTCTGCTGGGTGTGGAGTTACTGTCACATGGGGATTGTCCTCTGTACCAGGTGAGAGGAGAGAGAGCACTGCTTGGGTTTGGAAATGTTTGTAGCACCTTGTAAAAGCTGGGGAAAGTCTTGATGCTATGTGGTGGTACGTGGAGGATGGTGGGGAACTGGCTGAAGGGGAGCTGGTGGCCTCTTGCACGGGCACAGGCACAGACTGTGCAGAGGAAGGGAGGGAGCACAGGGATGCAGCCCAGGGATGCAATGGGAGTGCCAGCTCCAGGGGAAGAGGAGCTGCAGGCTGGGCTATGGCTGAAGCCACCTGGGAAAACAGCACTAGGAGGGAGAGCTGAGGAATAAACAGATTTTTACTTCTGAGTGCTACACTTGTCCTGGTCTGCACTTTCCAAGGGCTGAGGACAGTCCTGGGCAGGGGCCGAGCTCTGATGCTCCCCCCCACCTTTGGGGGCATCTCTAATAGCTCTCTGGGGCTCCCCAGGCTGCAACACAGTGGCTGCTGGAAGGATTAGTTGGGAATTTTACTTAACAGGGATGAAGGGCTGTCTTCTGGGGCTGGCTAATTAACAGGATTCTACTCTGGTAATTAAATAGCAGTTTGTTGAACACAACTTACTTGATGAAATCTTTGGAAAACATAACAATTAGCAGGCAAGGAATGGCAGCTTTGCCTCAAAAGCCTGTTCCCAATCAGTTGCTGGTGTGGTTTTAACCTTTCATTCCCCAGCAGAGATGATGTTAACCATGAATTTATTTGCATTTTGTGCTGTCGTTGGACAGCTTCTTCACCCTCTGCTGTCACAGCAGCTGGTTCCTCCAGGGCTTTATCTCAGCTGCAGGGGCTTGAGATGTGCCACATGTTGCTTTTTCAGAACACTCTCTGGTGCTGCCTTCTTAAAAGCCAGCACTGGAGGACAGGAGGATTTTCACCAAAACAAAAGAATATTTTTATTTTTATATTCTTCCTGTGGCAGATTGACCAGAGGGGATGAAGTTTATGAGTTGTCTTAAAACATAAACCTGGCAGAGGAAAATTGCTGATCCCGCACAGCTTATATAAACACTCTCATCCACACACACACACGGAAGGGGGGTGCTTTCAGATGGAAACTGTTCCTGTCTTCATCTTTCCACTTCTCCCTCTCCTGTAATGATTCTCTTAGGACAAGAGGATGAGGAAATTAGATTAGACAAACAGTGGGAGATTCAAAGGGTTGCTATAAAAGCCACCTCCAATCTTCGCTACACTTTGACAGCTCTCAATTTCTTAATTTGACAAGTTAATGAAGGCTGTATTATTTCCCCTGCACTGCCAGGGAAGGGGGGCTGTGCTCTGCACCAGGATTACCCATCCCAGCACCTTCCTCCCTCGCAGGCTGCAAATCTCATCCCTGGTAGGGAGGTGGTGTGTGCTGGAGCCTGGGGCAGGGGCTGGCATTTGCAGCTGCAGTGTTACTGCAGGGTTCTGAAAGATGCTCCTGTGCCAGGAGTCAAGTGGACCTGCCCTGGGTGTGTGTCATCTCCGAGAAGCCGTGCTGCAGCATTTGACCTCCTGGTGTTTGGCTTGGCTGGGCAGCACGTTGTTTCCTTCCACTCTCCCCGAGGCTGTGCAGACAGTGGAATGGGCTGGCTGAGCCAGCCAAGCTAAATACAGAAGGAGACATCCTGCTCATGCTTCCCCGGCACAGCATTCCCAGGGCAGGCCAGTGGGCATCCATGCACCTGCGCGGCTCAGAGTCCAGCCTGGTGCTCTGCTCTGAGTCATGGGATGGGTAAAAGGACTTTAAATGTGGTGGGGAAGCTACCAGCTGCTGGGAAGAGAGAGTCAGTGGGAAGTGCAGCACCTCTGGAGCAGTCCCAGGGTGTCCCTGCACAGCAGCAAAGTTTCAGATTCTACTAATACCCCTCCAAACTGCCTGTTCCAAGTCCAGTGCCCACGATGTGCTCTGTCTCGTGGAGGAACTGGGAGACAACTGTATCCATCAGGGCACTGAGGCTCCATAAATAAGCACATCCAAGCAGGCTGGAAGCGAAGAGCAAAGTCAGTATCATTTATCATATGAGGGGGCCTGGAGTATGTTCCAGCTCCTAATGAGTAAGGGAGAGCAGTGTTATGAACAGGCATGGGATGAATCCCCTTCTTTTTGGATCACGATTCTGTGTAATAAACATGCAAGACAATTTGTATAAAATAGTGAGGATTCTTTCCTAGAGAAGTCATTTAAAGCTATATTTGCACATAAGGGAACTGTTCAGAGGAACGTTTTGGAGTTACATTTCCATACAAGTGTGCAAAGAGAAAACAACACAGTCAGCAAGTGATGGATGGTACATGTAGTTCTGTGCCATGCTGTGCCCTTCCTGGGCTTATAACCATATTCCATGACCTCCCATCACACCAGAGAAGCACCCATCCTGGCACCCTGCACCCCTGCCTCCCCCTGCAGCTGTCAGAGGCATGGGGTGGATCATATAGTAA